ATGTTACCTGCCTTTCAGTAAAACGTTCCGGTCTCAAAATACTACCTAATTTATTCATTTAAAGTGAAAGTTTGTTAAGATTAATATGTAAATGTCTTCAAATAAATCAACTCCGCTTGCTTCATTCTGTAATGGTGATGTACAGTTTTGGTAAATTGTACGTCGTTAAAGGAGCAGGTGTTCGTAACCAGAGTTACAGACTTTCTCTCTCTGCTGATGGCGTGCGTAGACAGAAACGAGATGGCTGGCACTGAGGTGTAAGATGTGAATACATATCCAGAGACACCTAGCGGAGGTCACAATTCCAGGCCACGCCTGTCATAACACTCCTTCTCCACTTGGTTGTTCTTCAGCCCGTCAAGTATCCTCCCCACTAAATGAACGCAGAATGCAAATTACCTTAACAGTCACAGATTAGATTCGCTGGCTTCCTCCAACTTAGAAGTAAATTACGTAATTGAAGAGCGATTTTCCGAAACAAGTCAAGTAAATTTTAAACAGGGTCCTGAGGAGAATATTTAGACCCAAAAGTAATGAATTATTAGGAGAGCGGAGAAAGTTGCATAATGAGGAGCTTCATATTTATATTTCTCGCCAAATATAATTAGACTGGTCACGTCAATAGAATGGGATGGGCAGGGCATGTAGCCCGCATGGAAGAGATTAGGAATGCATACAGGGTTTTGTTGGGCAAATCATAAGGAAAGAGATCACTAGGAAGACGTAGAAGTAGGTGGGAGGATAATATTAAAATAGATCTTAGAGAAATAGGATGAGGTAGTATGGACTGGATTAGTCTGGCTCAGGATAGGTTCATGTGAACACGATAATAAGCCTTCGGGTTTCATAAAATGTTGGGAACTTCTTGAGTGGCTAAGCGACTGTTGACTTCTCAAGAAGTACTCGACTCCATGCAGTAAATACTAAGTAAGTTTATCCCAGTAATTTGTTGTTACCATAAAGGGAATAATTATCCAGCCTTGTCATGTTCTGTTTAATATGTACGTCCAACAGCAATTTCAATGTTGCTGGTATTTCATACTTACAGATTTTCGTCAATTCACCAATTTTGAATATTTTGAATTTCCGTACCGCTGACCGTCAGTGCGCATGCGTATGAAAGCCGTGAATAAATTTGTAGAATAAATTAATGCACATTACAGTGGAGTATTTGCTATAGTCTCTAGAGGCAGGTTTAGGTCGGAGGCGTTGTCTTGTTAGCAAAACGCTGTTAATTAATTTGCAATAATGATTCGGTTTATGTTACATTAGATGCATGATGTAGTCAGTATTTTACGTTAATATTCTCATTTCTCTTATATTCTAGAGTCCAAAAAATATCTTACAGCTCTGTGTATGTTTATAACGTGCACTACTTCAGTATTATCCTTGTCCTTTCAAAATGTACCAAGTCTGTTGAGTTGGTGTAGTTGGAACAAACTCAAATGTTTTATTATAAACATTGATAAAGAAGGTACAATGTTTTCGAAATTTAAAAGTGTAGTAATATCGCCAATCTCTAGACAATATTATGGCATTTTTTTAACATGGAAGCTAGTTGAAGGTACATGTTCTCATTTTCTGAAAAATTACTATTTTTACGCAGTTTGTTATGAAAATTTACCCTTAAATTGTGAATCTTTTGAACATTTGTGCCAAAGGGGGGGAAGGGTTGGGTAATCTATTTAATTGCTTCCACCTAAAGAGTTCAAGACAATACAAACCCAGATCCTGCGATTATTCTACAAAGCTGTAGATTACGTTATCAAAAACTATTTTAATATTATTCTCTAACCTACATCAAAGCTTCCGAAGTGTATATTTATTTGATGCTAGCTGGAGACAGTCTTAATGAAATCACCATTTAATCCTAATCTAGTGTGTTAATATTCCATGATAGGGGAGACCAGGGCAGAACGGGGAACTTCATTTTTGGAGCTACGTGGAAGGGACAATAACAAAGACAAACACATGGAGGAACCTTGTGTGGATTTATTGTCTATTTGAAATTTATAATGAGTTATCAGTTTAGTTCTAAGAGTTACAGTTTTTAAATATTAATTTATTTACAAAAATGTAACTTGCCCCATTTTGCCCCGTGCCCGAGGCACATGAGTTATGGGCCCATTTCAAGCAAGACGATCACCGGATCCACCCTTCAATAGACATCGTCACAATACAGGCACTCGTGGTCTTGACGATCCTTTTTTCCACTCGGGGCAAAACGGAATTCCCCATTCTGCCCCGAGTGTACTATTTCAGGTTAGGATTGTCCCACCAAAAATGACATCATGGAAATAAATAAAAATATTGTGTTTAAGACTTTCAAGAAAACACCGTGCAACAATGAACAAAGTGGATATGAATAATGAATAGGTCTTACCTTCACTGGAAGTTGAGAAAAATTTCTAAAATGTAGGAGCAAAATCAAGCATGGGTAATTATTTCAGTAACTGTAACCACAAGATGGCATGACTGGCATGACCCTGTGCTGTATGCTATGGAAATTTCACCCGGTCCCGATAGATCACAACGCATTGCAGACGAAATAAAGCCGACATCCTCTTCTGCCCCGTGGCCCTATTCTGCCCTGGGCTCCCCTACATGAGTTCAATATTTTCCATAGCGTCATAAAACAGAAAACTAACTACAAAATGGACTGGCGTTGTTCCGGAAAATTCATTTGGTGTATGTGTCAGGGGACTGGTACCCAACGCGCGATACCTGCCATTGTCATAAAACAAATACTGAATATTTTATGAGTGACGTGGGAACTCCAGCCTCCCGTTCCAGACCTGGAGGCCGGGTTCTCCAGGCGACAGCCGGACGTGGCCCGGAAGCAGAAAATGGCCAATCGCTCAGACACCAAATATTTTCCACGCCCACCTCCCCGAAAAACAGCGATGTTTGCATCAGAAAGGAACTTGCAGATCAGAGACAAATTCTTGAATTTTCATACAGACTTCTGTGTCCTTAGCGTTCTTTAATTAAGGAATAAATTAAGTCCCTCACCGTCCGACATTATTATACGGGAATTGCGTTGCTATTAGTTTTAAAAGAGGTCGGGCTGTTCCAGAGTAATTCTGGGATAAGTTGAAGCAATCCTACCGGGAATCGAAACTCTGATATCGTTTATGTGGTTGTCTGGATCAGTGTTATCTGCGTGGTGAAAAAAACTTAAAGTGGTTTCAATACCACATCGAACTCCGAATCGCATAATTAAAATTGTGAACTTGTGTGTGTATGAATGTTGGTATGTATGTGTTTATTCGTGTGTCCGTGAATTGTTTATTTTTTGTGAGTTTTTCCCCGCTCTGTGCCTGAGGAAACAATTACAGGAGCACTGTGAGTCAAATATCTTGGATAAACTAGTGATAATCGCGTATTTTCCAATAAAAAATGGTCCTTTGTGCGGAAAATATAATTTTTGTAAATTTTGTTGTGTTATAGTAGCACGTTATTACTTTGAGATTTAAGTAGTCACAGAACAAAAATGGCAAAAATACGAAATTTTTGATGAACTTATAAAGTAGTTTCAGTAAAACAACTTGTGACTGATATAGTCATTCTTTTAAATGGGTCTTACGGCGTTTTAACCGTACTGCTGTGTTTAATAATACAGACTCTAGAGGCGCTCACAACACAGCGTCTCCTTAGGTCAGGTGGAACTTAATTCCTTAAACTAAGCCAATAAGAGAGAGATGTAATCCTGGTATTAATACGACGCTAAGGTCGACTAATTCTTGCAAAGTACATGACTTCGTGTGATTAATTTGTTGTAAGTGGCGGACGTAACCACATAATCAATTTGTCGCTGTGGCAAAGGTTAATTTAATGATCGAGCTTAACAAAGTTACAGCGAAGTTCTTTGCTTGTCTATACCAATCGATCCCCTGTCTCTAAAATTCGTGTCTGTGTGTGTGTGTGTGTGTGTGTGTGTCTTCTATTTTTGTCTCTGTGAATGAAGTCAGGCAGTGGATTTGCAACGTTAGCAAATTTCTGCAACACTACACTTTAATTGGAGCTACAAGAAATTACAGTTCAGCCATTTAATGCTTGCAATAGGATCACGCTGACTGTAATTAACTGAAATTGAAGTCATGGGTCACTAATCACATACGTAATCAATGTGAATGGAACAATAAAAAAGATAGGAAAGGAAAAATGTGAATATGTTTTCAGTTTTTAGAGATGTGTTTTTAATGAAACACTTATAACGCACTTGACACTGATGTTCATGAAATATCCTGTTCTAACAATTATTCGTTCTCATTAAAATTTCAAATTTGTTTTTATTCGTGATGTTTGAGGCTCTCAAAGCAGTGAACATTGATTATGTTAGTCTTCTGGGTTGGAACACCGCGTGGAACTGTATGTAATTACTGACATTTCGGATGATCGTGCTCCCTCCATCTTCAGTCGTACAATTTCACACTGCGTTACAACCCAGAAAACCAATATCACCTATTTTATATGTGTATGATAAACTAATTATATAGAATGTTCAGTAACTTTTAATATTTCCGGATCTTATTAACTGTCGGTCAGAAATATCATACCACCATGGTTCTGATTCTCAACGGCTACAGATATTTGAAATTCAAGAGTCATGTGTCTTACAGCGTCAAAAATCCCGAGACGCTGTTCGTCTCGTTTGTTTACTTTGCATTACTTGCCATGTTTTCAATAAATATCTACGGAATTGAGGTCCGGTGAACGCAGTGGCCAATTCTGCGGACCACAACAACCAATCCATCGGTCGGTGAACAGCTTATTCAGGTACCCCGTTATGTGTCGACTGAAGTGTGCTGTGCTCCATCACGGTTGTCTGGCAAAGAGCGGACTGGCACTACACTTCTTTGATAACCGTCTTCCAAGCTAACTATGATGGTTCTGTTGTACAATAGGCGGGAAACTTTGAGTTCAATAAAAGGTGGGAACATTCTTAATCAACTGAGTAACAGCTTGTTTCTGAAGAAATTGGTTCAATGCCGTTACAGTAGCCGTCACGTTTCAAGGTCACGGAAGGACTTCAGCCCCTTTTCCACGCTGCTGTAGATCACCAGGACAGCGCTGCAGAATTTTGAGCCGTCTTTACTCGCCTCTTCTTAGGTATGCTTTTTGCAACATAATCCGATTTTACTGTGACCTTGAAACATTCAGTTAGTTTGGTAATGGTTATTATAATCTTGAATTACATACTTTTGAGATGTGAATACCCCATCACTCGAAGTTGTATTTGTCAGTAGTGCTGTTAGAAGTGAACCTGTGGGTCCGTTGGTCTGGTTGCAATTTATTCAAAGTTCTGAAACTTCTGCAGATTGCGTCAGAGCGGAAAGCTACCCGGGACACTGCGTTCGGCTCTGCTCACTCGAAATGTGTGTCTTTACAACGAATACAGTAATGCAAACTTTGTGACTAATCTGTAGACATATTGATTTGTCGTGAGGTTAGAATGACAAGTTTCTTGCTGTCAAAATGTTCAATCTTGATAGTTACTCCTCCTTACAGTAGAATGTTCTTGTCAAGAGACTGCCATTGCCATGTGTTGGAAACTGGACAAAATAAAAAATGAATGTAATTTCTGAAAGACAAATGAGGCGCTGTTTTCAATGCAGATTTCTAACTGCAGTGACTTTTTATTGGACGCTTGGCATGACTGATACCAATCACGAAGCTGGTTTCACAGTTTTCGACCAGTCACATTTGGGGTTATAAATATTTTAAAAATACAGAAATGTACCGAAGGACACTCGGATAATAGCAAATGGCTGATAATAAGAAGATTATTGAAAAATAGTGTAAATATCAACTCAGTTTATAACCCAATTTACGATGATTAAAAATAAAATACAATACAGCAAACGAAGAAAAAGTTCATAAACAAAATTAGTATTTAAAATCATCTAATTTTTAAACGAAAGACTTAAATTGTTACAGACATTAGTAATGGGCATTCCTTTGTGAACCTGCTTCCTTTTCTTTGCGGCAAGTTCACACGAACGCCAATAGACAAGTGCGCGCGCTCTCGATAGAATTCAATCTCTCACGTCGCGTAAAACGAAATATCGTATCACCCAAGGACAATAACAGGGAGTAGTATATGTCATCGTGTTACAAATGTTATTTAAAAAATGTTTAATTTTTAAATACGACGCAAGGAATTCATTGTACGTCAAGGTTCTAACGACAAAACATAACGGTAAAGTATTGAATGACTGACTGATAACCTAGATCAGAATCAAATCAAACACTGCCCCCAGTAGCAATGTCAAATTTGGAAGGAAAGAGGCAAGAAATGTTGAAATTATAAAATTCTGAAACTTTAAATTCTTTTTTTCAATTCATCTAAATGGTTAGTTAAAACCTTGTCAATCTGAGTCCACATGGCGTGTTGCGAAGTAAAATTTTCACTGTCCATGTAAATATTTCATCCCTTCAGCATTCGAAGTCCCCAGTTTTACCGCTCGGTATGAATATTCGTTATCCATTGCGCAGAAAGCTCCAGACCCATTCCTCCAGCCCCCATAGGGCAGTTTTAATACGTTTTTTCTTCAAATTCCTTATATCGGTTTGTGTTCCTGTGTTATTATATCTTTTCATAAAGTTGATATTTGTCTTCTGGATTGTAGAGCTGTGCAATCTGGCAGAAGTTTGCCAACGTTTCGGAGGTCCTTACTGTTACCATCATCAAGTCGACTCATCGCCACTAAAAAAACATAAGACGACTGTCTTCGAAATCACCGCCGCCAAAACTTCAAATTTTGCGTTTTTCGAAAGTAATTAACATCGTAACGAAAGGATTATTATAGATAGTGGTGGATGCAGGAAAAATATGTTGTGGCCTATTTTATGATTTCCCAGATATTCGCTAAGAGGGACTGAAAGAAAATGACAAAGATATCGTTTGGCGGGTTTTCTAACTTCAGCGAACTAGCGAGTAACAATAGAAAGGCGGGCGATATTAAACCTGGACCACAGATGAACTTCTTAAGCTATGTGAATCATACGCATTCAAATTTCGATACGATAACTTTGTTCAGTACGACATTAATTTACAATAAGATGGCTGTCTTCTGGGATGTAGCGCCGTGTATTCTGGTAGAAATTGGCTGACGTTCAGAGGTGCTTACTGTTTGTATCAGCAGAGGCTGTAAGCACTTCTGAAACGTAGGTCAATTCCTGACAGACCACACGGCACATCTCAGAAGACTTCATATTTGTCTCAGCGAGGACCTAAGCTCATGTTGCTAGTTGAATGTTGTATTTTGCTTTATGGCAGCTATCGGGAACAGATGCAGGCACTAATGGACATCCGATATCGCTTTGGCGGTCAAGATACACTTCACTCTGCAGGGGATCTCCTAGAGGCATTACAGTGGAGACGTCGTTTGGCGAAAATAAAATGAAATAAAAGAACTAAGCAAGGACGGATAAAAATGAAGGACTAGTGAAAGAATCAAGGAAGAAACTTAAGGAAATTATAATGAATATAAGGAAGAAGGGAGTTATGTAGGAAATTTCATTGGCTTCTGTAGCGTGAATTTATAATTCTAATTTTAACATTTTGAAATAGTGTTGTTAAGCGGAAACATATCTGAATCAGAAAAAAAGTCAAATTTTGTAGTGAGCAGGTTCTGGTGTACTTTGAAATCACTACTTATCACGAAGGCTGTCAACGTAAAAAATTGTTTTGTATCCCTAACTAATCACTGACAAAAGAAAAATATAATGAATTTAAGTCACATCTGGTTTGTACATTTTTACGCGAACTTATAAAGAGGAAGTAACAATAATACATTAAAATGTTTTAATATTTGTTGAAATACTATTGTTATCGTTCACTTGACGACGTAAGCTGATGTCCTTAAATCTTGATTATTATCTCAATTATTAAATAAATAATCATTATTGCGCACGTCTACAGTGCGATGTTTTATTCCGTGAGTCCCCTGGGGACAAACCGAGGAAAACCACAGATAACATCAATACATACACCTGGTTTCTATTGGACTCACAAACTGCTAATTCTAGACGCAAGTTTTGCCCTTTTATCACTAATTTAATTTATTAAATTTCTCGTTTATTCACATTACAACGCGTTGTTTTTGCGTGATGTGACAAGAACGAATGCATATATGTCTGGTGATGTCTGTCTGCCTGTCGGCATGATTCAAGCCAAGTACCGCTAGACGGATTTGGATGAAATTTGGTATGAACGTTACGTCATTGGTGATTGCCCTAAAACCGCACCTCTCAGTTGTTTAAATTCGGTAACATAAACTTGTCTGACGAACAAATTTGTGGGATGGGATCACATTTAGCACCACTTTTAATGGGGCCATGTAGTAAAAAGTGGTTTATATTCTTATAAAATGCATAATTTATGTGTGTAATTATTTGAAAAATGTAAAATAACAAAATGGCTGCTGCAGGAAAGATAAAAAAATTAATTAGGGAAGGATTCGATACTGTTTGCACTTGCGTACGTGTTTAGTATGTTACCACAGAGATAACGTGCGTTGTGTCACTATTTATTGACGTTTTATAAATATATTAAGAACATGTGATTTGTATATATTTAGAAAGTAAAATTGTCTAAGTAAGTAATTCGGTACGGATTGCATTACTCCAGAATAATTATTAACATTTGTCTTATTTTGTTGATCTGCCTGTGTTCCTTGCTCTGTTTTTTGGTTACAATCGCTCCAATTCAGCCCGCCATGCTAGCCTATTACTCACGCTAGGAAGTTAATTGCTTCATCACCGAATTCAACAGTCTAATATCTCGACGTATTTCATAGAAATTTTTTCCACGACAATTCTGCCGTTCTGAGCTATAATCAAAAGACTGGAGATGATGGTGTTTTGTTTCAATATACACTTTAATCCCTCAAAAGATGGCACTAGTTGCTTGTATATATTTGCGAACTAAGTGAATAATGCCTAGTAATGAACTATGCTCAAAAGCAGCTTTGTGTGCGCTTGTTTCAAGGCTTCTGTACGTACAGAAGTATTCGGAATTATAACGTAGACCTAACATAAGCAACTCCGTGGATCTAATCCTTAGAATAAATTAATTTGTATTACGTGATTTTACAAGTGGATATAAGCAATATATTTTGAAGTTACAGCTACGTACTTTCCTTACGGAAACATAACCTAACAAGCAGTAGAAGTTTGATTTATTACTTATAAATCTGTTCTGTTACTAATGTAGAAGGCTTGAAAAAACCATAATTTATACTTTTCGTTAAATATTAAGAGGGGAATAAAATTAAAAAAAATGTCATGGGCGGGCATATAGCATGCACCGGGACTATGAAACCGAAATTTTAGTTGGGAAATCTAAAGGTAATAGACCACTTGGGTAATATAGGCACAAATGCGATGATAATATTAAAATGTGCCTTAAATTAGATTTAAGTATTTGGGTTAAATGAATCCTAATCAGGTTGCGGTCCAATGGTGGGATCTCATGAACACGGTAGGTAACATAATGGCGAATAATTACTTAATTACCTGAGTGACCATCGATTTCTATAGGAGGATTTTTCTCCGTGGCAGTCAGAACGTCTTTCTTTCAGCCTGTCTTTGCGGCATTCATTAATTTTGTTCCCACTTACTTTACCCCTGTCTCTCTTTCTTCTGCCATTATTTTAATTTTTGTCGTTTCTTTGCCTCTGTCTTCAATCTTGTTTACTGTGTCTCATTTTTCTTCCCTTAATTTTGTTTTTCCTCTGTTCAGTCGTCTTTTCTTTCCCAACTTTTTCTGTTCTGCCCGTCTCTGAGTCTCTCCTCTCCTTACATCCGACTCTCTTTCTGCGTCTCCAGAGACGCCTGCTCTGGCGCGTTGTCGCCATGACGTCACACCGCGTCACGTGACGTCAGGCTCCCAGAGGACGACGTTCTCACCGTGTGGTATTGTCACTGACCACTTTTGGTTCAATCTTCAATGGTTTTCCCGGACGTGTCAGCGACCAAGGAATGAGAGGCCAGATGTTGGCAACGAACAAGAAAAAAGTAGTTGACCTATTTTGTTCTTAAGGAACATGGCGTCTTTAGAAATAAATAATTTAAGATTTGGATTTTAGTCGCCAGTATCATCACGGTCAACAAATGGATTGGTATGAGATGAGTGGGACTTGTAGCACGCATTGGAAGATGACTGGTGCTTTCAAAAAATTATTCCACAAAGCTGAAGGGAAGAGACAACTTAGGAGACAGACGTAGATGTAAGGATAATATTAAAATGTATATTAAAGAAATGGAGTGTGATAATTTCAACCGGATTGCTGTGGTTCTGGATAGAGACCAATGAACGCAGTAATGAACCTTCTGGTTCCGTAAGAGACAGTAGTTTTCTTCAGTAACTGAGCTACTAGGATCTTGTAAACAAAGATTTTGCTACACATAGGAACAAACAGATATTGTAGTGTGTAATCTTGAAGGGCTGGGGAATGACCAAGCTGCTTGCAAAGTTGCAAGCAGAATAATTTCATCTATCATGATGCCTAATAAACGAAATATGATGTTCTAGAAATGCCAAAAATAGTCTATACACAATATACCAGACGGAAAATGAATTTATTTTTCAGGTTGATAAAATCATACCGATTTAAATTAAAATTTAATTTAGTATTTTATTCTAATATATTCCATGATACGTTAAACGAACTAAGTGCAAGCTACAAGCATGATCATCACGCTCAGTAAACACAAAAATCCTTTCTTCGCTCAGAAACAAGTTAACTTTTACTATTTTTTTCCAGTGCTTTAGCGTCGTTCACTAAAACCAGAGAGCCTAATAAAATTGTGCGAGCTTCAGGAGCAAATCCTTCATAAACAAAGGATGGCAACACCGTTTACCAGTCTCCACCTCTAAAGTTCCATAAAACAACCCGATGTCCTTCTAGTTCAATTAGCGCCAAAGACAGTAGGTCGTCTGTCTTGGCTCGTCTCTTCGTCTTGTGGTTGTCCATTGGTCCCGACAAAACTGTCAGTGTGCTCATTAGCTCAATAGCTCTTGGTCTTTCTAAGCGCCGTCATCTCCTCTGGTCCTTACGACTGCGATCTTGGTCTGCGAAACACTAGGCCGTAAAGTAGCCGCCCCACTTGCTGCAGCTGTCGGGAACAGTGTGAACTACACTAGCGCCATCGCTTTAACGGCGTTCTTTTACGGAGGACGAGTGGCTGTTTAAGGAATCAGGAGTTCGTCATGTCTGCGGCTTAAATGTAGCGAAGGTGGATAATCAGTTGCCAGCTACTCACTGCAGAGACCCTGAAAGGCCAGGATTTGCGTCCAAGGCAGCTCATAGGAAGTTCCGCTGGTACAAGATTGTCTCCTACTTCTTCGATTCCACCGGCCAATCATATTCATTCATGTATTATCTAAAGCTTGAACATGGGCCCATTAGGGACTACCTATTTGTCCAAGAAGATAAATGTTTAACGACATGACATAATTTCGCAGAACTTGGATATTAATTCGAAAAAAGACAAACATCCCTTATTTTTCAGTTTTCTATCAATGTTACCAACGTGGACGCTTAAAATTCCTAATCTAAGGCGCGCTTAATTACAAGTTCCTGAAACCCAATGTCATAAAATGACAGCTTCCTTTCACAACCTTTCCAATTCATTATTCACTATCGTCCTCTCATTTGATGCTGTATAGTCTTAGCTACTGAATACCGTCGTTAAATAACCTATAAATAAATGAAGAATTGTTTTTACAAAATGTTTCTAGAACGTACAGTGCAAACCTAACTTACGTGCGAAATTAAAACTAGATATCTAATCGATGCCAATAAGTAATGTAACATTGGGGACAGACATATCAAATTTTGTATGGAAATATGTCATATACATAACTGAAATTATGGTATGATTATTGTTTACATGTGAACAATAATACAAAAGCCAGAGACCAGTCACTAGCGGCTCGTGACCGTGGGATCAAACCAATAACATGTACATCCCCCAGGCTATACCCGTATTAAAAGTGGAAAATTTAGACCTGAGACAAATTAGAGCAAATTCTCTCGCCCAGCGTAAAATCCATTTTTTTTTTAAATTTTAACTTCATAATGTTCTTGGCTTATAGACATTATGTTGGGTTACTTTTGTATCTTTAGGTTAAAAATGACGGAATTCTTTTAACGTGTAATTTCGTTTGATTGACGCGAAAAAGGTATTTTTTCTAGTAAACTTTTAGTTATATTTCCATTATCAGCTAATCACTAAAATTTAACCACACAGACACTTAAAACGGCATCTTTTAAGGCCTGATAGAAATTAAGAATGACACCAAAAAAGTGTAAAATATTACACATGCGGTCCTCAAACGGTCAGAAGTCGATTGGCAGCGCAGTTACAAGAAATACGAGCATAGACGAACTTATACGAACATGCACGAACGTCTACTGGCCATATTGGGAAATAACAGAATAGCGAGCAGAAAGCGTGACATCTATCGAGCGTCGTAAGAAACTCCCACCCTTCGATTCCGCAATTTCTGTAAACAAACTTTGAAGTTCATCAATCATCTTTATACACATTAAGGTGTGAAATATTCGTGGGACTCGGCTCCACTGTCCCTGGGATAAGTAGCGGGGGGTCCTGTGAACACAACAATAAACCTTTTGTTCCATAAACGGAAATAGCTGAGCGAATCTCCGTTTCTCAAGACCTTGTTGTTTTAACATTTTCCGCGTGTTGTAACGTGGGTTCCCTTAAATTCTAACAATCATAGAAATTCAGCCTTACATTCATGTCGCAAACGGATGCAATACAAAAAAAAAACTTTATAATTTTATTACACTGTTTTGAATATAAACACATTTATAAAGCCAGGAACTGCAATGAATAAAATTTTCGATTTTTACCTATGAGGATTAAATCTGTTTATCGTTCGTTGTGAAACAGCGCCTCATAAAAAGAAAATGCTTTATAACCGGATTAAGGACTAGGATTACGTAACTGAGGGGACAACTCGATTCAGTCCCAGCTGCAATTACCCCTTCCCAATCCCTACGCCATATCCCCTTCTACATATATTTATATTTGTACTGTGCTCTAATAGGGAACCATGCCTTGCAAATCCTGTGATAGGTCTGAGGTCGTGCGTCGATTGTTTTTTAGAGCAGAGGATGGCTGTTGGCTTGGGTTAAATGCGGCCATCCGGGGTTAAATCACGGGCAATGAAACAAATGTAAAAATGTTCTACGTTGCTAAGCCATTCAGACGTAGGATCTGTGAACAGAATCAATAGCACGCCATCAAAATTATGTGGGTGTTTCGCCTTCGCTGAGGTCGCAACTATCAGAAAATTCTATGGTACGTAACCATCCTTGAAGAAGAAACCTAACCTAACTAATTAAATTAATGAAGTCAGTGATTTTATCTTCTTTCCACGCGCTTACACACAAAAAAATATAATATCCCATGTTACATCAGATGACGTAATGCTGTAAACAAATCATTGAGTTTAATTCGTAATGAGCTCAAGAGCTGAAAGG